ATCCTCTGCAGTGGGTCTCCTAAAATAAGAGTTCCTCAGCACAGTAAAGTGACAGTTTAGTCGCATTGGGGGTATCAGCCGGTAAGAAATAGGATTCGTTGATATTAATAATGTTATTAATGAAAATACCACTTCGTAGTGTCTTTTTTCAGTATTTAAAGAACGAATATGATAATTTTTTCGCTAGTCAAGCATGCAAACGTTACAATAATTCACGGTTCAATGAATCTGAATTCTGCTAGTTTCGATCATGAGCACCAGTTTTTTGAGCCGAGATAGCATCTGACTCCAAATAAAGAATCTTATACGATCCTGCAAAAAACGAGTTCTCGAATTTAAATGAGAGCTTTTGCGCGATTGTAGTGCTCTGCAAACACTCATCACAGAAACACAAGCATTACGACTGCCAAAAATTGCCTTTCATTTGCCTACAAGATGAAATTGCAACCTCCAAAGTGCACTGCGTATCGCAATCCAGAAACAACTTGGTCGATTTCGAAGAACTTCAAATTGGAATAAATTGGTCCAACCGAAGTGCGAAATTACCTTTGGAATAATGTTATATCTTTAAACAAATTGTCGTATTTCTGTTCGACAATCAAAAATTGTATATCGCTCATTTTTCTTCAAATGAGTCTCTCCTTTATTTGCTGTCTTAACCATCTTTCCAAATGCTCGGTCCACATTTCAACTGCAAATTTAATTCACGAATGTCATATAGCCTCGTTGAGATGGATGAAATTCATGAATTTATTTAAACCAAATGAACATACTTTTTCCTTTAATTCCACCTCTTCTCAAGCTGCAGTCAAATGATGCGTTTGTGTAATGACACTTTGATTTAATTTGCAGGCCGTAATGTTTTCCTCGTAGAAAGTGAATTTTTTCGATATCAATATACATAATGTTGTCGCTGAATGGTTTTCTACATTCATTTTAAATCTTTATTTGAGATATACTCTTTCGACAAGTAATTATATAATCAGGTGATACAGAAAAAAGTATGAAATGTAAGCGCCATAAAATTTATTAACAATAAAAAAAACATTCGACAAGCATATAACCAATACTTTCCTTGACTAACCTCTGAGCTTACGAACCAATTTAATTATACAGCGCCAACAGAACGATGTCTTCGCATGCTTTCACCCAGCATTCGTGCGCTCCAACTATTTCAGTGTAGAATTTAATTTCAGTTGCCCGACTAGTGGCAACTTAGTAAATGAGATCATTTCCGCGCCAAAGTTGCCGCGTTTTTTTACTGAAAATAATTCCAAAGAGTTAGATGGATGCTGAGCTCGGATGTCGAAAAGAAGGCTATGGTGTGACGATCCTCGAGGTTAAAAGTCTTAGTTGGCCAACTAAAGTTGATGGAGGGCAAAAAATTAGGCGGTCACGTTGACGAATACCGTCTTATGAAAGATGCCCCGGAAATTACTTATCTCATATGGGACGCTGACTTCTCGGGATGTTTGGTGAGTAAAATGGTTAGGTAGTAATTTTTTAGCAAGATTGCAATTCAATTCTTGCGCTGCTCGTGCATGTTTAATCAACAAGAGTAAAGTATCCATCGATAATAATTTAGGAGCGATAATGTTGTAATTTAGATCCACTGCAAGGAAAGCAATATATCGCTGGATATACATCGCATCTCTCACACATAAAAATTATTGCATAAAAAATTATAATAGACTGTCCAAGAATTTGCACACGAATGCATTAGAATATTTTATATAAAAACATAAAAGAAAATCAGTGATAGAAAACACTGAGATATATGCGAAATGGAGACGCCTCTACATTGCTTGCTACGCTCCCTTATTTGCTTCTGAAATGTGAACAGCCCATGCATTCATGCACGTATCATTTACACGTATCATTAACACGTATCATGCACGTATCATTAACACGAAAAGAACTCGCGAGAATTTAACATGTTGAGTGCAGATAAAACCAGTCTTCTAATTAATCGTCCATAATTAATTAAATGATATTGCGCACTGACGATTAATGCTCACTACCCAGCCATTTGTCTATTAGGTTTTGAGTTTGTATAAAAAGATTGAAAGATTCTTAGAGCCAGACAGGATGAAATCAGATTGACTCGAGTGAAAATATGTTCCCCTAGAGGCCGTCGCAACGTTTGCATTAGAATATTAGCATGTCGCAACTAAAATTATTCAAATAATTAGCAGAATATTGTTAGTAAATAAATTTTAAAAATAACTAATATATTTAGAATAATTCTCATGTTCACTAGATTGATTGCAGGATTATTTAATTAGGTTTATTAAATTTATTTTAATCATTTTAGCATTAAAATCCCTATAATTGTACACACAATTGCGTTTAAAGTGCAATTCATTAAAGGTATCCACCTCTGTTTTTTCATGTTGAGATACATTTCTGCATTATTCAGCATGACTTTAAGGCAGTGCATTTGTTTGTGTTGGCGTGAAAGCTAGTTACCGTTTAGCTTCCTCTTCAGGCTTTATGGTATGTCAACCCGTCGCCATAAATTGCAGGGGATAAATAGAACGTTAGAAAAAATCCTTCCCCCTGCACCGCACTCAGGAAGTAAACAAATTTCACACGTCGTTACTTCACAGAGTTTTCCTCCCCTGCATTTTACGACCGAACTAAAATCATGGCGTTGAGTAGCCATTGCCGTGCCGTGAAAGTCATCGCCCCAATGAATGGACAACGCGACCTGGGCCCATACTTTAAAAAAAAGTTAAGAGATCGTAAGTTCATCAGCCAATCATTGACGGCCTTTCAAGCCACTCTTTTAAAAACAGTTAAGAGATCGTAAGTTCATCAGCCAATCATTGACGGCCTTTCAAGCAAAATCCACCAATCATAGACAAGAAAATAGAGCGTAAATACTTACGTTCACTTAGCGAATTTTGAAAGTATGGCCCCAGGAACGAGGGGCTTAATTTAATTCAGTATTTAAGTTCCGTCGCCGAGAACAGTGTTTCTAGAGCTACTGACTTCCAAGGGTAGTGTAAATATTGACGCGAGACGCGCTGAGTAGTGAGTAAGCTGAGTAACTTGCTTGTTGCTTCTAGTAATGAGCACTAAATGTTATCAAAATCAAAGTGAATTAGAGACCGCTCAACGGGGAGACCGCGATTACCGGTTCAAGTAGGAAATAAAGTAATCATAAGCTAAAGATATATTAAATTTTTTAATTGAAGGCTGTTTGTATATTAGGCATTTTGTTTGTTTGTGCAATAGCATAAAGTTTGCCTGTAAATCCTAAAGCAGTAGTCGTAGTTAACATTGCTAAAACGCATTAGAAAGTAAATATCAATAAATTTACATGCATTTTCCATTTTATTTCCTTTTGTACACACAAATTCACAATTCCCTTGAATTTTACCTATATCCATTATTTGATGTTACGCCATGAATTTTCCTCTGATTTATCCATGTTCAGTTAATTTTTCAATCATAACTTGAATGCGATTTGTGTTTTATTATTTTTCATGGAACTTCGTTCAGTACTCACTTACATTAATATTAATTTAGCTAGCAGAAACTTTTTTCATTAGTGTGCATTGTCTTTGATATCAGAATTTAGAAATATTTTATATCGAATTTTTGAGGATAAACACACTTTTACAACTGCTCAACGACAAGTTATAAGAGTCAAAGCAATTTGAGACTTTTTAAGAGCTAACCATCCATATATATACATCAGCTCTAACTTGAATAAAACTCACCATTTCATTCCCGCTTACATTTTTCGCGTCCTCGCCTAAATCCCAGTTGAGCATCGTTTAAATTTAATCCACTCAAGTCGCGTGCCAAAAACCACCGTAAGAAAATAATTGGACTGCTCTCCAACAGGTCAGCGCGGAGGGACCGTGGGCCTGGCATTGATTAAGAGCGATATCTCTGACTCTTGTGTGGGAGCAGCCGACACCAGCAGCCAGAGACTCTCTTAATCGTGTGTTGGAGTAGCCGACAACAGCAGCCAGAGACTCTCTTAATCGTGTGTTGAAGCAGACGACAACAGCAGCCAGAAATGCTCTGACTCGTGTGTTGGAGCAGCCTGCCATCAGCGGCCAGAGACGCTCTGACTCGTGTGTTGGAGCAGCCTGATATCAGCGGCCTGAGACGCTCTGACTCGTGTGTTGGAGCAGCCTGCCATCAGCGGCCTGAGACGCTCTGACTCGTGTGTTGGAGCAGCCTGCCATCAGCGGCCTGAGACGCTCTATTTCATACCCTGGTGCGGGTGACAGGAATTAAGGAGCCGCATTTGTTGGGATGCGATCTCATCGGTCCTAAGAGGGCTCATTAGATGCGAGCTTCAGGAGAACACGGCGAAGAAAATGCCGGTCAAGGTCTTATAAGAGTCGTTAATATCTTCAATACGGGATGCCCTGCAGAGAATAGCAGTGCTATGTTTGCGAGCTTGGCTCATATTTGTACATGTTTGATATTGCAAGAAGTTTTTCCTTCGGCAAAAATGAAAGCCGACGAAGCATTCTATATTGCTGTTTTGTCCTGAAATTTAAAAAATTAATTGGGAGCTCCAGCAGCGTCGTCCAGAAATATTCAAACCTGGAAATTTAGTTGATAACTAATTCAATAGGTGTGCGACGGCAGCAAGAATTTTCTGACACAAATTACCGTGAAAACACTACGACAATTGAATTTTTTTATTATTAATCATTAGCACAAATGCAAGAATTTACCTCGCGTCATGAAACTGAAACTGATCATTCTAGATTTCATTTTATAAAAACATACGTCAAATTACTCTTTTCAGATCGATCATTTCTCTCTAAGCCTTGATCATCCAAAGAATTTGGTTTGCGTCTTAATTAAGTCTTTGTTTAGTGGTTGACTGGTTGACCCAAGACGATGCATAGATGGACAACTTTTCGTAATGTCTATCGTAATTTCGATAGACAACTTTTCGTAAGTGCATTAGATTTAATGAAAAGAATACCTCCCGAGACTTCTTTATTTTATTTAATCGTAGCATACATTTACAAATATTTACTTAGTTTAACACAAATACAGTAAAATTAATGAGCTTATTTAAGAAAGAAATTCTTTGGCAAAATGTCTTAAAGAACACGTACAGAAATACGGTATTATTATCCGGAATGGTTCTATCCGTTGAAGTATTGAATTAAAATTGAGTCTATACAAATACGTAATATCAGATTATATTGGGTCTATACATGCACGTAATATCAGATTATATTGGGTTTATACATGCACGTAATATCAGATTACATTGGTTCTACACATGCATGTAATATCAGATTATATTGAGTCTATACATGAATGTAATATTGGATTATGTTGAGTCTATTCATTCACGTTATATCAGATTATATTAAGTACATACATGCGGGTAATATCAGAGTATATTGAGTCTATACATGCATGTAATATTGGATTATGTTGAGTCTATACATGGGGGTAATATCAGATTATATTGAGTCAATACATACACAGAAACTCAGATTATAGTCAAGCAACGACAGACGATGATAACACATATTTTGTGTATGACTATTCTTTTTCAAATAATAATGTATGGATATAATTGTGATGCTGGGCAAAAACACAACATAAATTTTGGCTTTACATGTGATAACACAAACAAAATATTATAATAAAACTAATTAACGGCCAGTTCTGTTGAACCGAAGAAGTAGAATTCAAATTCAAACCTAAATTTAGAGCCATGCAATTATTCCTTTCAATCATATCAGACTGAATTATAGCGAGCTGAATAAAATGAAATGACTCGTTTAAGTAATATGAATGTTTTCCGTGTTCAATAAATATATGTTTTATATATGAGCATCGGTGGTTCTTGAATCTAAAACGAGTTTATATAGTAAAATTTTTAAATATTTTACAGGGAAAGAAAATCAAAGCTTGCGCGTACACACTTCCCGGTGACATGATCAACGGCCGACGCCTTCACTTCCGTACCTCCGAATTTCAGATGAACGCTTATCTCTCTCCGGGCACTGCTTATTTGAGAAGTGGAAATGTTTTTGCTCTTTCGGGTTTCACTTTTAGAGCTAAAAGAACCACATACAGAACAGTTGCCAGCATCTGTGCCATCGCCGTGAAACGCCTCGTCGCGTCGTGAACAACAGCACACTTTGGCTGGACGTGCATCCGGTGACTGGAATTCCTCATCCGTCGAGGGTTTCTCCCAAGTGTCTTTCAGGTCCAGCAGCAAGGTACCCACTCTCTCTACTCCAGCGTCCGACACAAAATGCTGAAAAAAAGAGGCAAAATGACTATAAGTAATTAGATATTAGCAATATTACAATATGAAAAAATTGAAGTGAAAGTGTATTAGATAATACGAGTACTCATTAAGCAAGCACGAGAAATACAAAGCTCGTGGAAGAGTTAGCGTTGAAAATTTTTTGTACTTGAAATTGTGAATATTTTTTTTCAAGTATTCATAAAAACAATCATCTCTGTCACAAAATCAAAGTTAAATTTTAAAAATGAACTTCACACAAAAATTGATAATAATAATCGTAAATTACACGCGATTCATTCACATAGCTGTTCTCAAGATCTTTATTCTGTGTCATTAACCAGAACATCCGTTTTGATTCCAGTCATTCCTCTAACGTTTTATCATTCATCCTTACAATTCCAACAAATGTCTATTCTTTCCATTCAACCCTAATGGACGAGGTGCATCGTGCGTTCTATCAATCCTCCCGTTTTAGCGCATTTTCTCATTTTGGAAAAAATGCACTATTGTGCTCGCCATGTCCGTCTGTCCGTCCGTCTGTCTGTCCGTCCGTGACTTCACGTTTTCGTCGACGAGAAATTGCGCTCTCTGTCACTCACTGCAGTGAGTACTATGTTATATTTTTTCACACTTTTACCCTACCAAGCTGTTCTCAAGACCTTTGTTCAAATGAGAGGTGCCACTCACCGCTGACCAGTTGCCGTGCGTCCATCAAGTCACCACATCGCCACTAATCTTTCTACTCACCATAGCCTTAGTTTCGTGTGTAGCGTACAAGTGCAGCACCACAGTCGACTGGCCGAGGGTGGCTGGCGTGTAGGAACGACTCACGACGTCCCCCACGGCCACGGACTCATCAACGCGCACGAACACGTCCAGGACATCAGCACACCAGTCAGCGCCCGCCGCGAACACGCGCTTCTCCTGTGTGTTCCAAAATATGAATGTGTTCAAATGTGTTCCAAAATATGAATGTGTTCAAATGTGTTCCAAAATATGAATGTGTTCAAAACTTCAAATGTGTTCCAAAATATGCATTCCAAAATATGAATGTGTTCAAATGTGTTCCAAAATATGTGTTCCAAAATATGAATGTGTTCAAATGTGTTCCAAAATATGAATGTGTTCAAATGTGTTCCAAAATATGAATTATTAACGTAATCCAGTTCAAAAAGCATTTATGAATCACTTTGAATACCTTACATTGAATGCAATCGGATTCTGAGTTCTTCTCCTAAAATGTGTTATAAATATGAATTATTCACGTAAAATACCATACGTAATCCAGTTCCAACAGCATTTATGAATCTATTTGTAGTTAATTAATTTGAATACATTTCATTGAATGCAATTGGACTTGATTCTTAGATTATTACGTTCGATGAAGTTAAATATTCTCCTAAAGAGTTATCTCGTCCAGAATGATTAGTAACCGGCGAAGAAAGTACATGGGACGATACCTAAGAATGACGAATGAATGGCTTTACAAACGAGTCAGGTGAGAGAATATGAAAATTGTTACAGGAATATACTCCTCGACTAGCGCAGCATAAATAATTACTTCCTGTAGAGTAATTACATAATTCTGTAGTGTAATTTCATAATCATAATTTGACATAAACATTGATGGCATGGCGTACTCACAGCAGGATGCACGCCGTCCTGGAACCTGTTGAGGACCCCGACGCCGTAGGTGAGACGAGAGCGTCGCACCGTCACCACCGCAGGGTCCAGCCCGAACTGCACGGCTCCCCTCAGGATCGCCAGGCCCATACCCTGTACCATCAGGCCATTGTTGAGGAATACTCTTTGATTCCAGGTCTATAGTTACCTAATTAGAGTGCTCTATTGTAATTGTCACCTATTTCTGGTTAAGCAACATGTATGTATATTCCTTTAATCGAACTGCACAGCGCCTCTCAGGATCGCCAGGCCCCATACCCTGTACCACCAGGCCGTCCATGAGGAATACTCTTTGATTCCATGTCTATAGTTACCTAATTTTAGTGCTCTATTGTAATTGTCACCTATTTCTGGTTGAGCAAATTATTTCTTTAATTGGAGACTTTCAGTCGGTTAGAAAAGATGGATTAATGAAGAAAATGGATTAATTTAATTAATTATTTTTTTTAATTTAATTTATTAATTTAATTTAATTCAATTTTTTTTTTAATTTAATGGATTAATGGAGAAAATGTTATTTCTTTACTTAGCCTAGCCAATACAGGACACTTTAACACTGCCAACTTGACTATCTAGTTAATGCCTTCTATAAGCTTTTGACTTTATCATTCGGCTGAAATAGCCATTAATGTTTCTAATAGGTCGAAATTCATAAAAGTTGTGAGCATTAACAACAACTAGTGCACAGAAAAATTCTAGAAAATGAGCATTAACAGCAGCTAGTACACAGAAAAATTGCACCAACACACTGAAAATTTTTGCACCAACAATTCATACTTAAACCAGAAAATTTCTCACTTCCTTCAATTACATTCAAAAATTGAACACAAGAAAATAACTAAACCTCATTGCAAGAACTACGATTACTGCAACAAACCAAAATATTCAACACTACTACAACAAACCAAAATTTTCTACACTAGAACTCAAGCATAACCGAAATGAACTATGCTTGAATCAGACCTGCGGGATCACGACTGTGACGCGATGGCTGAAGGCGTCTCTGATGTGCTGCTGAAGCAGCTCTGACTCGCTGAAGCCGCCCACTAGAAACAGATACTGAAGAGCCGAGCTATTTCCAGTCGACGCCTCTCGCTCCAGCAGCGACAGCACCGACTCGATACTCTGTCAAAAATTATTTCTAATTAATCATAATTTAGGCAGTGGGCCTTAAAATCTAATAAGAAAAACGTGGAATTTTCATCTTGAAAGCTCAACAAAATCGGAAAGATGTTTGTTAGCGCATTTTCTCATTTATGGAAAAAATGCACTATTGTGCTCGCCTTGTCCGTCTGTCTGTCTGTCTGTCCGTCCGTCCGTCTGTCCGTCCGTCCGTGACCTCACGTTTTCGTCGACGAGAAAATGCGCTCTCTGTCACTCAATGCCGTGAGTACTGAGTTATATTTTTTATGATCATGCCTAAGAAATCATTAAACCCTTTCTCGATATTTGATTTCCTTGATACGTTGCTAAAAATACGCAGGAGAGATCGAACCTAAAGTATAGTCTAAAACTTGTAATTTAGTTCAGTGCCATCTCATCTACTTTCGTTTACAAGCTTTACATCACAAATAACTGATGTTTGTGTCAAATATGGTGAATATTGCTCAAGCTAATTTAGGTAACATCTAATCTTTAATTTCCTGATACTTTTTACCAAAAACACCATCGTTATAAGAAAATTCCGCTGGCAAGCTAAGATCATGGATTAAAACATTAAACGTTAAGATAAAAACGCAAATCAAACCAAGCACAACATACGCCTAAACCAATAAAATTTTAATTACTCCCAAAATTTTTTAACTAAAATCCACACTAAATTTCCACCACGTTGAATTCCAATACATTTTTGTGCTCAAACTGAGAGAAATTGAAGATGCCTGTCAGGTTTACCTGCTGGATGTTGTCAAGTGTGTCCTGGAAGAGTCCCCGCATGGTCTCCTGTGACACCCTCAGCATGCCTTGACTTGACCACTGCACACCCAGACCAGTGCCATGCTTACGTACAGCCGACTCAACCTGCGTGTCAACATGCAAGAAATATTATTACCCATATGAATTTATAAAAACTTACGTGACGTGAATTTATAAACATTTACGTAAAACCTACGTCAATTACTAACTCGACCAGAGCGCGTCAACATACAAGAAATATTACCCATTCATCCACTCGTTCAATTGATAACTCGACCTGCGCGTCAACATACAGGAAATATTACCCATGCATCCACTCGTTCAATTGATAACTCGACCTTAACGCGTCAACGTACAAGAAATATTACCCATGCATCCACTCGTTCAATTGATAACTCGACCAATTCAATTGATACATCAATCAATGTAGATTATTCTGACCAACCGAATTTTAAGACTTTTTTGGAGGCTATTTCAACCAAAGCCACAATGGCCAAAACTTCCTTCCATTTCGTCTATTTCTCATGCACAATTTAAAAAATATATATCGTAGCCGATCCAAACCTGTAACTCAATAACAGTATTAAATAACGATATCCTGACAGACTCTACATCGAAGAAATAAAACACAAGCCTGGCAAAGCTTACATCTTTTCCTCTAAACTTCTTGAACATGTCGATGAAAGAGAAAGGGAGGGCGATGTTAAGAGGGTTGCTGCGATGAGGGGAAGCGTTGCGCTTGCGGGACTCGAAAGCCACCATGAGGTCCACGAACGCCGCGGGCCGCTGCTGCTTGAACGCCGTCATGAACTCTGCGGTGAAGATCTTCTCCAGGAGCTTCTCGAACTCCTTGTCCACTCCTTCAAAACGTAAGGTTTAATCAGACATTTCAGGTATGTTACACCATTGACATTTTCAGGCTACTGATAACAAATTCCGTAATGCCATATGATCTCATAGGGAACTAAAATCTATTCCGATGTTTAGGTTAATATGTTATGCAAAATAAGTTTACGTTTTTAATAATAGCCTCATGACAAACATACGAACATTTAACTTCATATTATAATAAGTTGAATTAAATTTTTCAATGTCGAATTTAAATAAGGGATATATTTTTGTGAACTCTTTATAATTCGTAAAAAAGTAATGTTTTTCGCCATTGAACTGTACGAAGTAGCACGGTGACTTTCTTGGCTCAAAATAAAATTCATTGCTGTACAATAAATCACAAAAAAAATTATGCCTCCTTAATTTAGAATTTATTGTTCACCTTTTTTCAAAGGAGACTTTGTCTCACCTGTTGAGCCATAGGGACCACCGGTAGCCTTGTGAAGTTCTTTGAGGTGGCCAGCTTTGGTGTCGGTCATTTGGTGGACGGTGATGTCAACTGTACCGCCTCCACAGTCCACAACCATGTAAACTGTGTCTGCAATAATGATGCATTTAATCACCAAAGACAAATCTGGTACCGAATGTCTTATTTTGCTTAAGTGCTGCGCGATGCTAGAATAAATTACATGGAATCGTAAACCTTCCGACTCTGCAAATAATATTTATAGGAAACGAGTCGTCAAAAGCATTTTCGTCATGGAGGGAGTTCTTTCTTTTCTTTTTGAACTGGATAGTGTGAACACTTCCACCTAAATTCACTTTTTTATTTCAGATAAATGGCTTGTGATTATGTATTATTTTTTGCTTAAATTCTATCAGGATATTCCGAAATTTCTAGACATTATTCGTCCATGAAAAGTCATCATTCAGAAGATCTCATGTAAATTTAAATTTTAAACAAAGTCTTTAAATTGGACTGCTGGAACAAATTAATGAGGAGTTGAATACAATTTTATGTGACAGACAGTTTAATCTTAGAATATTGAAATCATGGCATGCACAGCATGAATTAAAATAATTAAGAATGGTGAATAATTATTCTATGTAATCTGTTTAATACTTTGCGCTTGAATACATTGCGCTTTAGAACCAACCTTGGACAAGCCAGTCTGAGACTGTTTCCGACGCGCACGAAGTTTGTAAGATGGACACTTCGTCTGCAATAAAATGTACAGTGTATATATACAATTCAAAGCTTGATAATACAGCACAGTGAAGATCAGAAGCAGTTGTATGTAGCCACACGCACGTGGTGAATTACAAATAGCTTACGCTCAATAAAAAGTAACAACGAAATTTAACGGTATCATGCTTGTATAAAAACGGCTCTTAAAATACAGGCGAGGTGAGGAAAAAACACAACGGCACATTGAAATGTAATATATCATAACGCTTTAGCAGTTTAAATTGAGATTTATTTTATTATATAACGACTTTCAACTTCGTATATATAGTGCAAGCGTTTAGAAGAGTTAGTGACAGATAAGCAGGTTAGTAACTTGATCATTTCTAGAAGCATTTAAGGATATAATTTACAAAAGTCTACAAATCTAGTACTAACTTTCACTTATATCGAGCACATCGTCTGGCTCTTGGAAGCTGTCGGCCATGGTTTTCTTGTACGCAGACGCGTTGATCGTAGAGTACGGCCTGGGACTAACGCCCTTCTTGACGCCGGATTCGTTGGCCTCGGTCGGATCGCTTCGACATTCCGCCGAATTGTTTGCGCGGTAGTGATGAGGCCAGGAGCCTGATGGTGATGATACTGGTCGTGTATATGGTGAATGGGTATGACGGAGAACAGGATTGTTACCGGACACTAGTTGGTGTCTGCGAAGCTTCCGGCAATAGATGGCGGCCGCCTCTGGTTCCAGCGCGATGAGCAGTTGCTCTGGAGAGTTCGGGTCTGCTAGACCAGCCTGAAATAAGAACTTTTGTTAACGCTCACGATATCCAGGTAATAATCATTCCTTTTGAAATACATGAATTTTCAAGCTTTGGCTGCACTTCACCATCAATGCAAAATTTCCCTGAACTTTACTGGCCGTACAATCAGCAATCCTGTTGATCTGCGTTAGAGGAATTTCCAATCTTTTGCTGCGATTCACGATCATTACTAAGTTTCCTTTGGTTTTTACTTATACCATGTACTCAGCAGTCCTCTTGAACTGCATTATGGTAATTCCAAAGCTCTGACTGCAAGTCACCATCAGAAACAATTTACCCCACGTTTTACTGACCATGTAAGCAGTATTCCTCTGCAACTGCTTACGGGTAATTCTCGAACTTTGCCTGCAATTCATGACATTACAAAATTTCTCCTGTTTTTTACTGACCATATAATCAGTAGTATTCTTGAACTGCTCTACCGTTTCTAAACCAGAATTAGTATTCATCTTTTTAAAATAAACTTGCTTGTATAGTAACTAACCGGCTATGGTTGCATGTGTACATCACGAAACCATTTCACCAGGTTCCTACATACCATATAAGCAGCAATCCTCTTGAACTAGCTGCTCAACCGTTTCTATAATAGAATTAGTATACATCTTTCCCCAGCTGTGGTTGCATGTGAACATCACGAAACCATTTCACCAGGTCCCTACATACCATATAAGCAGCGGTGCGCATGAACTTTTCTACCGTCTTTAAAACAGAATTAGTATCAATTTTATTAAAATCAACTCGATTGTATAGTAATTCCCCAGCTGTGGTTGCACGTATCCATCACGAAACCATTTCACCAGGCCCCTACATACCATATAAGCAGCGGTGCGCATGAACTGTTTGGCAGGATGGCTCCAGATAGCGGGCACGGTGATGACCCAGCGTACGTCGTGCTCAGTGACCAGCGCTCCGCCCGCTAGGTCGGACAGCTCGCGCAGTGCGTGGTCCCTGAAGTAGCCCAACGCGTGGCTGAAGATCTCCATCGCTGGGACTTGCTGGCCGTTGGCCGCTGACAACAGGCTGTCTCGACTCAAGCTCTGGCGAAAATATTTCATATTAGGGAAAATGAACTAAATTGATGCTGCAGTTTTATTTTCATACATGTATTATGAAATTACACAAATTACACAAACGTAATATAATATTATACGTATTTGACTCATATACTGTAATAACTCATATTATTCATATGAGACGTCCAGGGAGTAACGTTAGGAATCAGCAGTTCGTTGATATTTTTTTAATCTATTGTTTACATGTGTCGAGCAACAGTCGAGCCTGACTTTTAAATTTTGTATTCGATTGATAATGGTTCGATTGGTTATGAAAAATTTAACGGACTTTGATATGCTCGTTTTATTCGAAAAGTTCCATTTTTATACATTTGAGCCTCATTTTAATTTTAATTTATACCCCTGAAAAACCCTATTTCATCTTCAGGAAAATTTTTGCTCCCTCGATTTCAAAGCACTATGGACTATTTAAATTTATGCCTGGTAATTGCCTGTAGCTCATGCCTCGACTACGTCCGTAAACTTTTGCAGAAAGTTTTTTGAAGCAATTATCTATTAATTAAAGTCTGGTAAAGGGAGACATATCGCAAGATCGAGCGTCACGATCACTCGAGTCACGTCGAGCGTGACGTGAGTTGCTGTACTGACATCGCACAGGAAAAATCTTTTTAAAACAACTTGGATGACATGTCGAATTAATTCCTTTTGAAAGGTGCGCGTTCAGTCCTGAAGAATTTTAAAGTATGTTAAGTTTCTCTTGAAGCAGAAAAAAATTACATCGGCTTCAATCGGATGGAGGTAACAGGAAAAGCAAATTCAATAAACTCATGCTTTGGTGAATAGAATATCTTTGGAATATACAAATACTCAGTGTTGACACTAAAATCCGAAAATTTGAATGATATCCGACAACAAGAAATTTGTTTAAGCTAGATCCATCTCCAACGTAGAATCCAGGCTACATGTTAATACTTATTTCCGGTATACGTGGAACAATTGTTGTAAGCGATTTTCTATTTCCTGTTGTATTTCTCAACTATACCCAATGGATCCGAGAACATTAGTAACCCTTGCAAAATATCTCATGTCGCCAAGAACTCTGAACGTGGCGAACTCTATTAATTGTTGCAACTCCAAAAGATTAGAAAGATAATTACAGATAAATATTATTAATTTGAAATTTATGCTGTCAGTTAGTGTTAAAGAACCACAATTAATAAGTTTGTGTTAAAGAACCACAAGGGTTTTCTAAGTTTATGTTCTCTTGCTAGCCTCACAAACTACGAAATGTGGAAAATACCCGCAATACTTCTACCACTCACTCGGTCGTCATGAAGCTCCATTTTGAATTTGTCGAAGTAAAACCACTTGTTTGCCTCCTTGGGGTCGAGGTCGTGGTAGCTGTCGCGAGCCGTAAAGCCCAAGGAATGAAAGCGCCTTTCCGGGTCCAGAAGCACGATTGTGGGCGTCTTTTGGTTTTGAACCCCAGGGTCTCCTCCTGAAACAATTATTAAATGATGGATTAATATAGCACGAACATAAGCACACATAGTAATGCTCACAATCCAACTAAAGCTCGGAAAAACATTTGGGAGGTTTCTTTTCTGAAAGCTGAAATCGGAATATGTGATGAAAATCGGCAAATAAAATTCGGGCACTCAACAGCGGCCAACTGAGTTGTAATCCAACATACATGTTTTTGAAGAGGTTTTGTGATTTCAATCTTACGCTACATCCGTTTCTTCATATACTGTGACTAATAACGAATAATTTAAAATTAACAAATGTTGATGAACTAATGAGTTTTCTACTCCGATGAGGAGACTCAGAGTATATGGTACAAAGTGTGAGGTTTCTTCTTGCAATGCAATCGGCTAATTTTGGTAGCGTATATAAAAATTCCCGCAGAGCTGCTGTTAATTTTAATTAAAAAATAACAAAAATGACATGAAAAAGTAACAAAAATTTATGTTTGTATCAAGTAGGCAAACACAAGCAAAACTGGAGTAAACCCTTTTTTCTGGAGGTCTGGTCAACTGGATTATTGACTTCATAAAAAAAGTATAACAATGGCATGAAGAAGATAAGATCGAACTACGATGTTTTTCTATATTCATTTTGCTGTGGAGTGAAATTTTTACTGATCATGACCAGGGTTAACCGATGGTCTTTTTCCGGACAAATTCCTCGATTAACTTTTTTCAATTGCGTTGGCCGGGTAAAATTTTTGATGGCGGCACATCCATCTTAAATTTTAAAAAGTGTAAAAAAATAGGAAAATTTAATTTTTATACCGGACGTACATATATACTAGAATATATTGAGTTATAGGCCTTTTTTGTCCGCGAACTTGGCTGTTTTTTAGGCCATCTGGTAACCCTGTTCATGCCATGGCAGTGCAAGCAATCTTACCAAGCGAACGGCCAGTTTCTCGGTCCAAGTTTATTAAAATGAGCACGAACTTAAAAAATTTGTGTTACGTTTCCAATTGACTGATTTTTTTCTCTTAAATTCTTAGGAGTTGGGATTTGATACGTAAAATCATCAAATCTGAAAAAAAAACTCATGTGCGTAGTTGAGTAATTACTTTTTCTGGGTTCAAGTTGTCTAAAATGCGCCCCAACATAAACATAACAGGAACGAGAGTGGAAATCAAGGTCGAAAATTCGCGGACCAAGTTATCTTGCTCACGCTCAGCGTTGGGTCGGCCATATCTGATTAATCTAGAACTTTATATCGAAGCGAGAAGCGGAGCGCCATTGTTTGGAGTCATCATCAATTTCCATTCCAGTCTACTTTCATATTTCTCTGATATGAAGATAGCAACGCTGCTATATATAATCAACATATTTAAATCTTTATGTTTAACAGGCCACGTGAAACTGCCTTGCTGTCCCTTATTCAAAGATAGGAACAAAATTGCTAGTAAGTGGATTTGAAGATGTTTCCATTCAAGTGAAGTAACCAAGCTTTACATTCACGCCACGAATCATTTCAGTTCTCTTAAATATGAATGGAAAATTAATAGAGAATGTCATTCTTCCTAATAATTATCTATCACTACGACTAACTGTCGTATGCTGCCGATGTTCCGCGAACGCATCGCTGCACAAACATTAGACATTCCAAATATGAAATGATGTCCTCGGAAACGCTTAAATTAAATGCAAATGAAAATTATTTATTCAACTAAAATTAGTAGTTAAACATAGTTCTACATTAACATAATTTTCCACGACAATGGGAGATATTTTTATCAATTTCTTGCTCAGTGATTATCAGAGATTCTCAGGGCACCTAAAGAAGTTATTTTTATGAGCGCCAGTCAGCTCTGAAGTGACCACATCGAGCGGCCAAGGCTAAGCCATTTAGTTCTAACAAATCTCGTCTCTACAAAAATCAACCATTCGAGCTTTCAAAATTACTTATATTCATCGGTCCTACTGTAGTATAAAATTTAGTAATCACAATGAAATAAATGCAAAATATTCATCAGTCACAGACCAAGCCTCAATTCTTTCAGACGGAATAAAAAAATTCTGCAATCCTACTTTCCGGGAAGTATTTCTCACGCGCTGTCGCTGTCTTCTCGTCAGGATTTCTCTTCGTAAATTAACCTCTCACGACAACGTTGCTCAAAACCCCTAAGGAAGACAAAGGAATAATTCACGGCTCCTGAGATCGAATCTAATTGATTCACAAAACTCACGTTAATCATTACTGAGACGGTAACAGTTCCTCTTCGTATTGATAATATTCGGTAAACGTGAACTCAGACAAATTAATTTTTTATTCAGTTTAAAATTTTTATGCGATAGCTGCGTTTGGGAAATAAAATTCAACAAATTATTTCCCAAAAATTTCTATTACTCAAGGGTACTCACTAAATGTGATTGCATGTGGAAATGAGTGTTGATTTTTTTGTGCCTTCCGTTACATGATTTTAATCTTAGAAAAAATAATTTCTCCATATCAATGCAACGACAACCACGTAATTTCCCTGTATGCATGAGACAACATCGGTCAGAACCGCTACAACATTCTTTAAAACACTGAGCATTTTCCCCCAGTGCATCCCAGTCGTTGGCGCTGTATGGCTCAAGCGCTAACCGCAAGCGTTGGATCGGCTTCGAAAAGAAAGTCATTCCATGTGACCGAGTCTGGAACATGCGGAAAAATTCTCTTCTCCAGATGTTTACCCGCATTAAACACGTTTTGTTTTCATTTTTTTGCAGAAATAATAAACTTGATTGAACGGCTGCTTTTGACATCAAATATATTTCGTGGGCGATTGCTTAGATACTAATCTTTCACGTGCAAATTCAAAGCGTCGCATAATATTTTACGACATTCATATACAAACAATTAACTATCGGGACTTGAAAGTGTTTGTAATGCTGCATACGCAACTACCAGAGTCATCCTTTTGTGATTACTCTTTCCTTACAAGCCAATTTCTCGATCTCAAGATTTAAAAATACCAACTCTGCTAAATGATTGCTACATAATCCTTCCCTTTCAAATTAATCACAGGCAATCGCTGCCAGAAGCCTCAATAAAATCATCATTGAAACCAGTGCCGCAAACTCGAGCGCGCAGTGATTGGCCTTTGGCATGATTGCTTATATTTCCTAACACTTGTTCAAGGACTCGACCATTAAACGTGTGAAGGCAATCATTAACTGCTCGCTAATAATGACCTGGCAGAGCAGTAAATAGTACACGAAATTTAGCCGCAAAAAAATTGCTCTTGTCATTGCCTTGAAATCCAAATTCCCACAACTTCCTTTGTTCGTGACGCGTCTGCATTACAAACCAAAGAAAATTTTTAGACAAAGCTCGAACACAACGAGGCAGAAAATGCATATTGAGGATGCGTATTGATTACTAAATCTCAACTATTACGAAATCTTGAATAGATGAATGTTCCGTGACAGATACCATAATATTTTTCAAATTGATTTCTTGTCTCTATGAAATATCAGAACCGAATTATTACTTCATTATCATTATTGATGTAAATGTAAAACATTCTACAGACTGTTATAGTAGGTTAGAAACTGCAAAGAAGACCCATTCGGAGGGAGAATTTAAAATATATGTTGATGCTCAAACATATCATTTTTAGAATAGAACATAGTGAACGAATACCTGAAATGAACAAAGGAGAACGATAACTTTCCGATCAGCTTTTTGATTTGTTTCTAACTTACGGATGAAATTAAAGGTGCCAAAAACTATTTTACATCAGAACCTGATTAAAAAGAAAAGGAAAGTTGGGGCAGAGAGGAGCATGATCACCAGAGCGTTGCAGAACGCGGGCATAACTTGACTGCACTGGCCCGTGATGGCTCCGGCATTGGCATCTGCCGTAGCATCGAAGAAAATATTCTACTTGGAGTGACAATATCTTCATACTTAGAGTTTACTGTGAAGTTTTTAAACAAAATCCCCGTCGGTCGATGAATTAAAACGTAACTGTGATCTAGGGATAAGTTTTACTTATACTTTAACGATGGTGTATCCAACATTCTAGCGCGGTAGCAAATATCATTTATTTACCAGCCAGTTCTGGAGAGATCTCACCGTTGTTTCCATAAAATAGCTGCAATTAATGTTCAACTTAACTTTACACGGTCGTAATAAGTCTTCACTACGCAACGTAATTCCCACGCTCTCCATCTCTCACCGCTATGGCTCTTAATTTGTGTTCCCATCTACGAAATGAACCGAGTTCGGTGAAAGTAAAAAAGGTAACGCACGCCTCACTCGTGCGCACGGAACTGCAAATCCAAACCATTTGTCAGACCACAGAACTTCGATAAAGCCACAAAACTCCAAGCCAGCACAAGTTATTAAAAGCTTTAGAATTTATTCAGCTTCGGAAAGATTGTCGTTTTCTTCACGTCTGAATTAATGTCCAAAATGCTATCATACCAACTGTCTTTTCGCTTCATTTAGAAAAAGTGCTATCATATGTAGTTCAAATTACTTTTGTTGTGATGGCATTTTGTCACTTTTCAAGTCATCAGACAAATAAATTCTAGGCATTCGTCGTATTATAGATAATTATTTTAATGACTCACCTTCCCATTTTTTCATCATGTGTACGTTGTCGGGATCTCTGGTGAAGCTAAACGCGTAGCCACTGTACGTAGTACCGAAGTCAATCGCCACCACCACAAAATGATTAGATTCTGGCTGAGCCGATGTAACGGTAACTTCCCCCAGTTGTACATTGTTCGGACTCACAACTGCCGAGTCCACGTTCAGCGGAGAAGATCCATCGGGAGATGACTGTAAATCAGACCGAAGGGGCGAGTCTCGAGCCGCCATAGGATCATTAGAGGCTGTATTGACGATGGATACGTGCTTATTTGAAGCTGACTCGAAAACAGGTACGGAAACAAGAACTTCTTCCTCGTTTCTGACTGGAGAACAGTTGTTGATGGAAATCTCATCGCCGTGCCCATGTGAAGGCAGTCTAGATGGTCGCGTGTCGGGAGGCGTTGGAGGAGGTGATGGTGGGTCTGTTAATGTCCCACATGGACTAGTGGCTCCACTGCCATGTCCACTGTCACTGTCACCACTGCGACCGTGCAATTTTTCGCTCTTTTCACAGTCAACTGGTTTATTTTGAACTTTATTTCTATTCACAGAAGAGCGACTGGAAAACTCCATCGACGGGAAAAAAGAGCGCATAGCCACCGAAGACTCGGGCACATAGACTTCTTCGATCAAATTCAGGGGCTCCATTATGGTTTGGCGGTTTAAGTTCCCTTCAAGATCTATTGTATTGTGAAAATTATTTCTGATATCGTTCACGCTTTTCCTTTTGGAGTTTACATTATCTACAATTATGCTTGAATTCCTTTCACAATAAGGCTCAATGGTTACCACTGGTCCGTCGCTCCTACAGTTAGGCCTTAATACCGATTTACTATGGTTTGCATTGATAGTTTTCACACTCATGACTGATCCGCTGCTAGTTTGTTTCACAAGCACAGGTTTTTCTTCATTCACTTTCTTAGTATCATTTCCATTCACTTTACTTCTATGATCCACAGACGAATAGCCAATACTTATTCCTCGATGATGCCGTTCTCGATCAGTGACACTGAGACTGGCACTCGTTTCACTGCGACCTGTGGCACTCTCGCGATCAGACTGGCAGCGATCAACTGTCGAGGCCGTAGCTCTGCTGTGCGCCGTAGCCTTGCTCGCATCGGAGACTCTGTCATTCCAGCGAGAACTTTTAATACGGTCTATATCAAATTCTTCTACAAAACTTCGACGATTGTTAGACGAAATATCGTGACCAATCACTGGTCTACTGTCTTCTTGTTTATAACGTGCGGTCACTCGTGTTTCATTGGTGTGGCTCAAATTTATTGGACTACCTCCGTTGTCGCTACTGCTGCTGCCCGAAGAGCTGCAATAGTTATCCAATGTCGAGTCCAGGTTGCGTAAAGCGTCACTAACTTCTTTTTCGTGATCGTTCAACGTTGATGGGGTGGCAGGAGTAACCTTTCTGGCCGCCTGAGATGAAGCTGTTGGCGGGAATCTAAAGTAAACTCCTGCTTTTCTTAGCTGACGTTCGGTGTCAGACAACTCTTCCCCATGTGAACAGACGTCAGAATTTGTATTGTGGTCATTTGAATCTGTACAAACTGACAATGGGCTTTCGACGTGCGGGCTTTCTTCGTTGTAGTTGGATGATTCTTCTGAACGAAAATAAGACAGAGTTGGACAATCCAGTTTCAGAGCAAAATTCCTGCCAACAACCCTCGATGTCAAGGATGTCTGCATCAACCCGGCATCTGAAAGAAGAACAAATGCGGTTAATTTTCAGAGATGGTGCAATGATAGTTTCTCGGATAAAATCTCAATTAGTCGCTGCGAAAATACTTAAATATAGAGCATTTAAATGTTTCATGGACTACGGTGATGTCTACTAAAATGTTGAGAAAATTAAGTATTACTCAACTAGATAATAAAAGACGACATGTTTCGCACATTCTGAACCGAGAATCGCTCTCATCAAAGTTTCGACACCTGCTGCGACACGGCGAAAGATTTCAGAACAAAGTAGAGCATTAATTCCACGGCGAAGCTTTTCGATAAATTTGACAGTCGTTCCTGTGCAACATCGACTCGATAAAAAAATTTACCAGTAGCGAACGAGTCGTGTCATTATAAAAGATCATTCAAAGTTGGTGATTTTTCATCAAACTAAATGATTTTCCCGAGTTCAAGTAAATCTTACGATATCATGAAGAATTTCGAGCGGAAGTATTGAAACCACAATGGCTGCATAAAATGCATGAACATGAAAGTTTACGAGCTAAACACTGCATAAATTTTAGCGTTAGCTTCCAACGTTCCAACAGGAAATGACCGAGTCATATTTCAGACCATGAACAGCTTGAGGGATACGCGAGCTCGGTGCAAAATGTCAACGCAGCTTTGAATAACTGGAGGCGAATAATCACGATATTATTAATACCCGGATGACAATCCCTGCTAGGATCGACTCCTTCAGATAATACCTATCAGAATTAGGTTCATCGTTGATCTTGCATATATTAAATAATTTTGCGAAACTCGGCCAGTTTTTTCTAATAAGTAAGCTAACAGGACAGCCACTTGTTTCCGGCACGACTGCTCGCCGCGGACGGCAAAGATCATGTACCGTCCTCAATATTTATTCATCAAGTCTCACATTCCCTGTGCGAGTAAAACATATGTCAGGACTAAAAATAAAATAATAACTATAATTATGAATGGGGCTCATAACTTATAAAATGAGCACTTGTGATGTATGCAGATCCTAATTTCAACAGATCCGTTGTAATATTTCAAAAATATTTTGTAGATCCTGATTTCCATTGAGTGATTTAAACAATTCATTCGTCATTTCTATTATATTTCTAATATAATGGCAATTCTTAATGTTTGGTTGAGCGAATATTAAAAACTGAGAAACTATATTTATGATCATTGTGTGAACTAAGGTTGGCTTATGATTAAATTAAAACATTCCTTATATTTATTGTATATTGCTGGTATTGCGATGTTGTCAAATAAAGTTAATTTATACTCTGAATATATGTAAAAGATAAATCTCGTCTCAATGGTCACCTGCAAAACTACCAGACGGCTCACTAACGTACGTGACCAAAAAACTTCATATCATAATGTCAGGTAACTTGTCCTCGTATTTAGATCCGAATATTAACTCCCTTTTAAATTTTATTATTTACTGTGTGATCATGGTTACAAGCGAGAAATCCATGCTGGATTGTTGCTGACTACAACCTAATTGAATTTTCTGTAGAGATCTAAGAAGTATTTTCGCTTATTACATGCTACTGAAATTTAATCATAAATCCCATAAATCAGTTAATACCGCCCAACAGTCGCAATTGCTCCAAAGATCTTCTTAAAATGACGAACTTAGCACTGACCGCGCATGTCTCCATGTAGCGACGAAGCCTGCGTCGTAGATGACATTTGGCCGTTACAAGAACTCGTGACTGGGAAACCAAGGTCAAGAAGAATGTGCGGTCGCTTTAATAGCCAGCTAGGAAATTATCATGAACAACAACCAGATGATAGTCAAGTTTGTGGTAATAAGTCACAAAAAATATTACGTGTGGCATCAAGGTAGGAAATGTATTTATTACTGGAGAAAATAAAGCAATTTGAGATTCGTTTGTACTCTAGGAAGTTCAGGCAGATAAACGTATAAATAGTAATATACATATATCCTAACTTCCTAAGGTACAACTCAGTTCCCGAAAACTCGAAAATAGTCGTGATTCGATGTCGTGAGTCAAATAATTTTGGCAACTCGAGAACCAGAATGGAGATACTCATCGATGACAACAGCACAGGAAATTTATAATGCAATCCTCTTTCATGTTTCAAACTAATCGTACGATCGAGCCGCTTAAACCCGATTAACCACTCCATGCATCTCGCAAGCATCGTTCTTATGGATCCCGGATGCACTTCAGCCAGCATAACTCGTCCATGGCGATCTGAAATAAATTATCTAGCAGCAAATGGTGCTGATAAGTGACTTTTTGAAAATTGACTTGATTTAGTAGCGAGTATCCATTATTATACTGACAGCAACATACCCTAATTATACCGATATGCATTTATTACACTGACAGTAACGCATATTACCAAATACTTGGATACTAATTTTATCAATATGACTGACAATAGACAATATAGTAAAAAAAAATACCAGTTGCAATTTCCATTTTTGTCCAATAATATATATTCCTACGTTTTAGGCAGTTCGTTTAATTCTTTTATAATTTGAACCAATTTCTCCTAATACCGAGAATTGGGACTCTGTAAGACTGAAACTTATTTTTATGGCCTTAGTGGCCTTTATATTCTAGTCAAACTCATGGTATTTACATCACTGCCAACATTATTTTAGAAACCCCCCAAAAAAACGAAGAAAACGAGCATGTACAGAAAATTGATTTAGAAAAACACTTTTGAGGACAAACGTCGATATAAATTACATTTCTGGCTTATATTCATTAAATGTGAGATGCTTATAATAACTGCTCAAAAAATGAATCTTTTATCAATAATAAATCTATTATTTTAGACCTCTAAACCCATAAGCCATTTTAAAAGAAAATTAAATAAAATTCGAATAGTATTCAGTCATTTCGGTGAAATTTGCCTATTCTCACGATTGAGCTCATGAGTTGTTTTACTCAGAACTTAACACACTGACAAATGGAATAAAAATTTCCCAACCGTCAAAAAAACAAGCTAAAAGCAATAATGTCGAGCATTTTGCAACGAGTTGCACAAAAATATTTGTCATTATTTAAGCACATTGAATGATTTTCTCTTTTCACACTTCACGGCTGCTGCATGCAAATGTCATTTTTGGAGTAACCGACGAAGAAAATGATACTGCAACTGACCAATGAATTTATGATACTATTTACGAAAATTAAATACCGGATTAGAAAGCCAAGTTTTCAATCAGGTATACAAACACTCCCTAAGGTCATGTATACAAACGCTCTTCCAGTGATAGTTGATAAAAATTTATTGCAGCATAGAACACGACATTATTTAGCATATTTTACGTTCAGCGTGTTTTTTTTATATAAACTCTTATTGCGATCTTATCTTTCCAAAACCACCAGTCATACAGGAGAAAATTACAGGAATAGCAAAAAATGTTCAAACAATAACATCTTAATACACTGCGTTAGCAAATATCTATTCAAATTTAATCAGCTTTGCCTAGAATCAAATCCATTTCCTGAAAAATAATCACTTTTGATCACATTTATTGTTGGCGGCAAGCGAGAGAGCGGCCTTCACTTTGCTGCCTTTATAATTATAAGTAATCACTCAGCCTCGAACTCGGCATGTTTCTAACGGAACTCGCACGACACACACACACCGTACCCACTGCTGGCATCACTGTCGCTCTCGAACGAGCACACGCAATTTCGGTGCCCCTCAATTGAGACAAATTCACTCTCGCTCATCCATTAAATTAGAAATCACCATGTAAAAAACTCGACGCAGCCATGCCATTTATCCAACGATGATAATTGTTATTATACTCAGTACCTAAATCAGTTGTGTGTCGTCAGAACCACGATCATCATTTCCTAAAGATAGTCTTACTAATGTTTAGAAGCCAATGATTGCATAAATAAAAGCACGAGAGAATAATACCTGAAGGTAAACTATAACAAATTCAAGAACGAAATGTGTGCGCAGTTGCTGCACGAGTAATGATAGTATTCAGTAGAGGCACGTAAGATAATTGCTATATTAAATAATAACTCGAGTTATAATTCAAATTACATTTGTGACTGGTAATTACATTTCTCTTCCCATATTACATTTGGCATCACCAAGTCAGCAATAGGACCTGCCTTTCCTAGCGAGCGACCCACCCAACTTTCACTGGCGCGAATCTTCCGTAACGATGACATGGGCACGATCATGGCATAACAGGTCTGAGCGCCAGGAAATGATGAGAGGGTTCACGGTATAATACAGTCAATTTCTCCAGTGAGAAAGGATGGAATGAAACTTTTGATTGAAATTCGTAAGAAATTGCAGTTATAGTAATTCCGCGAGCGGTTAGAGAAGCTAATAACGCAGATCAATGGGACTTTTTCATTTAACGATATATTTTTTAATGGGACTGTTTCAATTACCTATAGATTTTTGATGCTACTTTCAATAACCTATATGTATTAAGTACCGTTAACAGGGCACATGGTAAAATCTTGATGTGCATGCACTGCAAACAAGCTGTAAGTGAACCTGCATGACTCGGTTTGATAGAAAGTCCTATTAAAAGTAGATATCAAAATATCCGATTGCCAGAAATATGTCAAAATTTAAAATATCAAGGCTGATTCATTTGAATGAGCTTAGCATTAGCTATGCCTTATGTTAACTAGGCTATCGAAATTTCCGCCAAAATCAATGGTTTCCTTGTATTTCCCTCAGAAAACAGTGATTAAAATAATACCTACTATGAAGAATCTTTCACTATTCTTATGAAGGTCAAAAATGTTTTTTAAGAAATTCTAATAATTAAGCGACAAATTATTAATTGTAGCTTTCAATTTTTAACGCTTTGATTCGCGACGCATGACTTGGAAACTGAAGCTTGACCGACGGCGAAAAGTAACGATTTCTCGCAGCGAAGAGTAGCTCAAATTTAACTGTTTTGCGTGGCCAGAGCGTCACAAGAGACGCACGAGTCACGATTCTTCCAGGAAATGATCTGTGCTACCGACTT